ATACTTATTCACTTTAACTGAAGTAACAAAAGCTTTTAAAGCAAGATAGTTCAGTGGTAAAGAATCCACCTACAGTTCTGGAGACCCACTTCTATCCCTGGGTTGGGAAGATTCCCCTGGAAAAGGAAATAGCCACCCCCTCCAGTATTCTTACCTGAAAAATCCTATGGACAGAGAAGCCTGGTGGGCTATAGTACATGGGTTGCAAAGAGTCAAGAATGACTGAGCAGCTAACACTAACACAGAATACTTAAAGGCAAGGAAATTCACACAAACTGTTATCAAGAAGCATTCTAAGTACACTTGTTCTCCTAACAGAGAGGAACCAATATAGTCCTGCATGCACCATCGTACTTTAATTAAAAAAATGCATTTACTTAATTAAATTTAATCTAATCTCGACCAGACAATACAAAGAGTCTTTTCTATAAAACTACTACAGCTTTCTGAATTCATAGAAATCTGCCCTTTAATTTTCCATCTAGGAATAACCACCTTTAGGATAAAATTATCTTTTTTTGACAAACACACACACACACACACACACACACATACACATATAGTTTTATATATACACACACACACACACATATATATATATATATATATATATATATATATACCTATCATATTTTTTATATATATTCATCCACCAGAGGACATTTTAGCTTTTTATAAGTCTTGGCTTTGTGAATAATGCTGCAATGAACATAAGAGTACCTATATTTCTTCAGATTCCTAATTTCTCACTCTTGGATATATAAACAAAAGTAGGATTGCTGAATCATATGGTGGTAAATTGCTTCAGTTGTATCTGACTGTTTGCAACCCTGTGGACTTAGCTTGCCAGGTTCCTCCATCTCTGGGATCCTCCAGGCAAGAATACTGGCATGAGTTGCCAGGTCCTTCTCAAGAATCACATGGCAGTTTTATATTTAATTTTTTGAGAAGCCTCTGTAATAGTCTCCGCAGTAGCTGACCAAATTTAGATTCCCACCATCAGTATAGTAGCATTCCATTTTCACTGTACCCTCACCAAAAGTTGTTGCCTGATATATGTTTCACATAGCCATCCTAACAGATAAGAGGTGATATCTCATTTTGATTTTGATTTGCATTTCCCTGATGATTAGTGATACTGAACACTTCCTTGTGTTACCATTAGCCATTTGAATGTCTTATTTGGAAAAATACCTATTCAAGATCTTTGCCCATTTGTAAATTGGTTTCTTTGCTTTTTTAAAATTAATTTGTAGAAGTTCCTTACACATTTTATTTATTAATTTGCTATGATATGTATATTTTTTCCTATTTCATAGGTCATGTTTTCTCCTTGTTGATTTGCTTCCTTTGGTGTGAAAGAGCAATCTGAATTTAGAACTTGAGATCTTGGACTTCAAACTAATGTCATGATAGAATGAGACTTAAAGACTTGATAGCATTTGGCTCCTCCCTCTGGGAGCCCTGAGCTGACAGTTTGCAAAGCTGACAACTTTACTGAACACAGATTGTCTACATTTTCTTGTATCTACACAGAGAGGAAAGTGGCCCAGAATAGCTGATCTTCTATCCTTTGGTATCAAAGCACCATCTACGCAGTTGAAGTCATATTGGTCACCTCTTAAACATCAAGCAATCAACTGAATACCAGAGAATGATTTCAGTCTATGCCACATGGAACACAAGTATTTTTCAGTCAAGTAATGCCCAAATTTCTGTATAGTCAGATACAGACCAGTGTATGACAAGATATAGCCCTGTCTATGGACAGATATAGGTCTGTGTGTGATCATATCAAGTAAATGTGAATGTACATATACAAAAACATACATATCGGTAGACTGATACTAATTCCTATGTGGTCATACACAGACCGACATGTTCACATATAGACGTACACACGCAGTTGGATAGAGACCTACATATTATTGAATATACACCTACATGTGGTCATAGAGATTTGCTTGAGGTTAGATACAGATCTGAGAGTGTGGTAAGATATTAATATTTGCATTGTTGAATCCAAGCCTATGAATATTTATTGCACAGGCACTCGAGCTTTGAGGATTGTGCCATATAATTCATGCCAGCAAAAGACACTAAGACTTTTCAGACCGGGTCATTGAAATTGTGAGTCAAATGTAAATAACAGAGTCCTCTTTTTAAAGAAGAAAATCATAAAGCAAGATTCATGACATCTATGAAGATGATTGCAAATTTTTATTGAGCCATCAAACAATCTTTCACAATATTTGTTTTACTCTGGATGATAAATCAAGATATTAAAATGTAGTTTTCCTCAAAATGAATATGTATTGTCATAATATCCTAAGTATAATGTTATAGAAAAATTTCAAACTTTGAAAAATGACTCTAAAGTTTAGAAAAGGAAGAAAAGAAGGCAGAGGAGGAAGATAAAAATACGTCTCTAAATTGAAGCTTCCAGATGGTGTAAAACATACCATAGTAAGTGGAAATTTTTAAAATTATCACTGGATTTAATAATTATGTAGACATATTTTTTCTTGTTTGGGATAAAATATTTCCTTATCACAAACAAAATAAATAAAGTTGTTTTGAAAAAAATTAAGTGTTTTAAAAAGTTATTTTTAAAAAAGTTAAAAGTTATAAGAGCATTGGAAGGGTATGGAATTTTCCAAAAATTATATGACAAAACTAATCACAAAGTAAAATAATACTTAACCATTTTTATATTAAAAATCATATTTATAACATAAATGTTATAATGAAGTAAATATTCAAATATATATACTATATATATATACAGTATATGTATATACTGTAGAAAGAGCTAATCAACATTTATTAGTAAAAATTCTCGCTCTAATAGGTTAAGAATTCAAGTAATTGACAGGTCTGAAGAATGAATTCTATGTTCCATACATTGTGCAAGAAACAGAGAACAAAAAGAAAATGAAGTAACTTTCCCTGACTTCCAAGAGCTTACAAACCAATAAACATGGACTTAAAAATTAACAAACAATTCTATCTCATCACTTGAAATAACTGCACAATTTTGAAAACTAAATTTCTGTCTTGGTCCTTTTGGGCCGTTATTAAAGAGTATCATAGACTGGATGGTTTAAACAATAAATATCTATTTTTTGAAGTTTTGAAATCTTATAAATCCAAGGTTAATGTGCCGGCAGTTTCCATGTCTGATAAGGTTGCCTCCTTGGTTGATAGACAGCCATCTTGTTGCTGTTTCCTCATTCGGCAGGAGGGTCAAGTGAACGCTTGGAGTATGTTTATAAAAGCATTAATCACATTCATTACCTGCAAAAACCTACCTCCAAATGCCACCACATTTTAAAGGAGTTAGCAAGATTTTGGAGAAGAACACAAACATTTAGGTTTATATAGCAACATTCAGAAATGGAAAGATACATTTCCTAAGTTCCAATCAATTCAGATGCTTGGTGTTATTTTGTAAATAGTATTGTGTTTGAGGGAGTTGTCTGGTGGTTCAGTGGTAACGAGTCTGCCTGCCAATGCAGGAGACACAGATTGGATCCCTAAGTCAAGAAGATCCCCTGGAGAAGGAAATGGCAACCCCCTCCAGTATTCATGGACAGAAGAACCTGGCAAGCTAGAGTCCATGGGGTTGCAAAAGAGTCTAATATACTTAGCAACTAAACAACAATTTTGTTTGAGAAGGCTTTGAGATAATATGAGAAGTCTGCCTGTAACTGGAATAAAATTCGGGATATGAGATTTCTTACAGTGTGATTTACTACTGAAAAGAAATCATTGCCCCATAGCTTTAGCCCAGTATGAATCCAGACAAATTATGAGAGGCAACATAATATTTCTTTGATCACATGCTTTCATCATTTTGAAGCACATACTATTTAATTTCAAGCTTGATTAAGAAAGAGAGAGGATTCTATGGAGGATGTCTCCATTAAGTAAAACAATATATTCTGGCCTATTTATTTCCTAGTAACCTATATTTCATTAATAAAAGGAATAAGAATGGCATATATTATTGGCATCTTTCTTAAAAATTGTATCACCCAATATATCTGGTATTGAGCTCTGTAATTCATGTCTGAAGCTAATGGATTATGAGTTATGCTAAGCTTAACACATGAAAGGCAGAACCGGGGACTCTGTAGAAAGCTATGAAACACTACAAACAAAAAAAGAGATGGGGATATTGAAAAATAGCAGACGTATTATCAGACTATTACCAGATAATTCTAAATTATCTGGGAAGATTAATGGATCATCTTTATGAAAATATAATTCCAAACAAAGTTGTTCTGCTTGATATATTATGATAAACCAATCTGGAAAATAATTAAGATTGGTTATTTTTCTGTATATAAACCTCACTCATTCAGATTATTTTTATAAACTTAGTCTTTTTATGATTAAAATTTTTAACTCTGAAGTGTCATTCTACTTTGATATTAACATGCTAAGCAATATTAACAAAATAATATATGTAAGCAAAATTACATGCATAAAATTAAAATACATACTTCGAATATCAATATTGGTGATCTTTGTATGGAGAGACATGAACAAAAAGGTTAATGCCATACTACTGACATTATTTTTCAAAATCTGTAATGTGTCCTATTAAATCTGAAAAATATTACAGTATTTGAGAAACATTAGAAAATCTTCTACTGACTAATTTTACAGTATTTGCTACACTTTAACTTATTATAGAGACCAAAAATCTATAGTCCCCAGATAGACAATGTTACACCCCCATACTATACATAATTTCATAAGAAATTATGATAATCTTAAAATTACTTTTAGAACAAAATATATACTTTGAAGTACTAAATGATGAAATTCTTAAAATTTGTATTTTGATCATTAAGTATTCAAATCATAAATATTTTCAAAATACCCAGGTTATTGATTCTGAGTAGAAGTTTAATACAGTTAAATAATCATACAAGACTTTCCTGGAAAGAGCAGTTCTTCTTTGAAAATAGATAGTATGTTTCCCTGCTGCCTCACTTTCTTTTTCTGATCCAGAGCTTTTTCATGGCATTTTTCATTTCACCATTTCTCAGAGTATAGATTAGAGGGTTCAGCATAGGGGTGATAATGGTATAAAACACAGTTAAGTATTTATCAATAGGTAAGGTACAGGGGGGTCTCACATATATGAAAATAGAGGGCACAAAGAAGAGGACGACCACAGTGATGTGAGAGCTACAGGTGGACAAGGCTTTGTGCCTCCCTTCCTGACTAACATTTTTTAGGGAGCGCAGAATGACCCCATATGAGATGAGTAAGAGCGTAAAGATGACCAAGGCGATTGCCCCATCATTGGCCAGCACTGTGAGGACAGTAATGTAGGTGTCAGTGCAGGCAAGTTTTATCAAGGGGTACATGTCACAGATGAAATGGTCAATGACATTGGGGCCACAGTAGCGAAGGTTGTAAACAAAGAGAGGATGAAGTACCCCATGCAGAAACCCACCAACCAAAGTAAGTAGCAGCAACAGAATACAAACCTGCTTATTCATGATGGTCAAATAATGCAAGGGTTTGCAGATGGCCACGTAGCGGTCATAGGCCATGACCACCAGGAGTATTATATCAGCACCACCAAATAAGTGCCCTATGAAAAGTTGGATCATGCAAGCTTGGAAGGAAATGGTTTTCTTTTCACACAGCAAGTCTATAATCATATTTGGAGTGACTGTTGTTGAATAAACAGCATCCATAAATGATAAGTAGCCAAGAAAGAAGTACATAGGGGCATGCAGTGTTGGACTGAACACAACAGTCAGGACAATGAGTAGGTTGCCCATCATTGTCACCAGGTAGATGAGCAAGAAGACAACAAATAATGTTCTCTGACCCTGGACACTCTGCGCGAGCCCCAAGAGAACAAATTCAGTTACATTATTCCTTTGTTCCATAGGTTCCTCTGTAGGTCTTATTTCAAAATTTGGGGCAAAATTACCTTCAAATATAATTATTACTAGAGGATTTCTGAAGTCTTAAGTTAAATTGTTTATTCATTCAAACAATGAGCCTTAAGGTTTATTATGATGCAGTACTGTCAGATATTATAAGGTTGATTAAAACATTGTCTTGACCTCAAAAATCTTACAAAGTGGCAAGTAACTGAGATTTATATACATGGGGAAAAGGACACAGTATTAAATAAAATAGGTGCCACAACTAGCTTTCCATTTGGAAGCTAATGAAATTGCAAACATAGCTAATATGTTATATAAAATAAAAACTAAATAAAGTTTTAGTTAAAAATGTAAAGCAATATTTTCTTTATTTTATATTCAATTCATTAAGGAGATGACTGTCTCTATTCCTGGAGTGGAAGAATCTTCTCAACCAATCACTGAAATTTCAAATTGGTATATTTGACAGTTTGATATTTCTGTTTTGGATTTAGGGAAAGATCCAATAACATCAACTGAAAAAAGTATTAATAGCTTGAAAAATAATTTATGTTTTACGGAGTATGCATAGAATAAATTTCTAAAATAGACAAATATCTATAAGCAATTTATAAATAAAATTATAAATGAAATATAAAAATATTTAAAGGAGGAATACATCCAAATGACCAACAAACATACAATCAGACGCTGAAACTCACCTGTGAACAGAAAAGTAGAAATTTTACCTTGGGTTCTTGAAAGTTACTGAATCAGCATTTACAGATGCTACATCATCTTTTAATTTTGAACAGTTTAACAAAGAATGTCTCGAGAATATAGTAAATGAATCTAACATCAAATTTATAAATATCTGTTCATGAAAATATTCCCAAATAATTACACTTGAAATTAATTTCTATTAAAACTTTATGTTATGGAAGGAAATTTTATTTCAGAGAATAAAAACATGAAGATATCTAAGAAGAGTATTACAAAATAGAATGAATATTAATATATTTTAGTCATCACAAAAGATTCCTAATATGGCTGATTATGAAAATCACAAAGGAAAACTCTTAGAAGACTGAATTCTCACACCACCAATGTACTCTTGCAAAATGGAAAGTCTAAGGCATAATCTTATGTGTAAGTGCGATTCCAGTTTACCTGCATAAGATGATACTCAAGTAATCCATGTTCTGGGCTCTGATGCTTTCTCCTTTTCCCATCATAACTGTTGCCAACTCTGTGAACACAAAACGTCAGATACGTTCATTATCATTTACCTTTCCATGTGACCAACTCTTTCCATGTTTGCAGAAAATATAATTCATCTCAATATTTCAGAAAGACATTACCTTTCAAACTATTTGGATTTTCAACATGAATATGAATGTCTTGTTACCTAAAGAACTCTGACCCAGTTGTGAAGAGAGACTCAGAATATTCATAGTTATCAGGATTTTTCCTAAACACCAATGATAAATCAGCATTTTAATTGGAGAGAAAACCAGAGATTATGTATGAATTATTTACATAAAAATATTGCTCTATGTATTTTATATCAATCAAAGTAAAATAGTGAACTAACATTTATAGTATTTTGATTCTGAACCAGTTTTAGTGTTTTCTCTTCATTGTTGAACTTTGGTTTTCCTGAAGGATGGAGAATAATTTCATATGTGTACTTGATTATGATTTGAATCTACTGTTTAAATTCATAAAAGTCTGACAAGTGAAGAGAGGGGAAAAGTACATAAACACCTTATCTACATTTGAAAAGTCATACTTATTATTGATGCTTCTCCAGGGATAATTTTGGACTAATTAAGTTCCTTGGGAAACCATAATCACAACTTTGATAGTATTTTCTTTACCTCCAGAGATGCCACCGGATAATCATCATGTGGAACAGGACTTGGAGAAACCCGTCCTCTAGGGGAAAAGCTATTAAAAAAAAAAAAAATTTAGGTCATTTCACCAAGATGGAAAAGCCCAGTCCAGACAGAAGTAAAATATCTAAAAATTTCCTTGATTATAAATTATGACCTACTAAATATGTGAACCTATTTAAATTTAAACTCTTTCATTGAAGATTATATCTGACTTGATTTCCAGAAAATGATGGATGCTGATATCAGAACAAGTCATTCAAAACCTGTTTCAAATGCAGATAATTTTTTGTCACATAGTTTGTCACATAGTTTCAGAAAGGCAAGTTGATAAAATTGGTGCTAGTAGGGAAGTGGGGATAAAAAAAAAAAATTCGTGGAACTATTATTTCATTCATCTGAAAGTATTCATTAGCCAGACACCAAAGTAAACAATTCCTATGGCATTGCCTCACTGCAATACATTTCAAAACAGTTATACAGTGTAGGTAGAGAGATGTATGGATAGATAGATTGAGAGGTAATGTACTACACTTATTTTGTATATAATTTTATATATAATATTATAAAGTACTGGAGAAAGCAATGGCAAACCACTTTAGCATTCTTGCCTTGATAACACAATGAACAGTATGGAAAAGCAAAAAGATATGACACTGAAAGATGAGCACCCCAGGTGTATGAATGTGAGAATTGAACTGTAAAGAAGGATGAACACCAAAGAATTGAAACCTTTAAATTGTGGCTCTGGAAAAGACTCTCCAGAGTCTCTTGGACTGCAAGGAGATCAAACCAGTCAATCCTAAAGGAAATCAGCCCTGAATATTCGTTGGAAGGACTGATGCTGAAGGTGAAGCTCCAATACCTGATGTGAAGAGCTGACTTATTGAAAAGACCCTGATGCTGGGAAAGACTGAGGGCAAGAGGGGGAGAGCCGTTGGTGCGCTTTGCTGCACACCTGAAACCAGCACAACACTGTGAATCAGCACCGAGAAGCACTGGAGTGCCGTCTCAGTAAGTGGTACCCTCTACACTGTGATTCGTCAGACACGAAAGTTACGGTTTCCTCCTCATTGCTTTCTCATTGCTTTCAGATTACTTATGGACAACTTTAACAAAATCTGTTGTCTCTACTTTCAGAATATATCATTTATTTGTTCTTTTCCCACACCTCAATCTACACTTTTTCCTGGCCCACTGCTTATACAACAGCATTTTGACAAGTCTCTCTACTTATATTCTCCCTTTCAAGATGTTATGCTCTTCAAGTACCACAAATTACACTCTTTAAATCTTGTTCTAATTATATATCTCAAAAGTTCAAAACTTCCACAGTAGATTCCAATCACACACCCACAGTTTAATGTATCACATTAAGTAAGAATGCTAATCCTCATTTTTACTTAAGATCATTGAGGCTGAGAACATCTCATTAATTGACCAAGAACACATATTTTTATGTAACAAAGGTAGGATTTGAATACAAGTTTGAATTGTTTCAAAATGATTTAATATCTTACATTATAAAGATGGTAATAGTCTTGTGAAACCTAATTCCCACAATCTTCTAATAGTCTTTCCTGATGAAGACTTGTTCACAATCTGAGTTGCTCGTAAGTTACCTACAAAAACTTGCAACTCTTCTTTAATCCAGTATGAACACAGAGGGCAAAAGACTGCATCATTGCTTGAGTAAATATCTTATTCAACTGTCCATTCTCTCAGTGGAATCTTCTGATTATTCAGAGAAATATTTTTATTTGCTCTTGTGCTTAGTTGCTCAATTGTGTCCAAATTTTGCATGGACTGCAGTCCTACAGGCTCCTCTCTTTGTAAGTACTCAGTTTATAGGATTCTCTGGGCAAGAATACTGGGTAGCCATTCCCTTCTCTAGGGCATCTTCCACACCCAGGGACTGAACTTGGGTCTCCTGCACTGCAGGCAGATACTTTACCATCTGAGCCACAAGGAAAGCACTTTAATTTGCACTAAATATTGTTTAAGAGAAATTCCATGGTAACCATGAAAACACTAAAGCTTGTCATGTTAGGATAATTTATCAAAAAGAGCAGCAAATCCTATGTTTAAATAGATAAGACAGCAATTAGCCATTTTCCAGGAAAGTGCATCTCAAGTAGCTTCTTTTCCTACTAATTTCAAGATATTATAATAGCATTCAATTGTTCACTCTTTCTTATTCTGTCATGTTAGTGTGACCAGACCACTTGACTTAAGATTTTGAAAGACATTCCTGTATTCTCTCTCTCTTCTCTCTCTTTTTTTTAATCAATGCCACTTTAAGCCTACCAAGGGCTTCCCAGGTGGTTCCATGACAAAGAATCCACCTGCTATTGCAGGACATGCAAGAGACTCGGTTTCAGTCTCTTGGTTGGGAAGATCCCTGGAGAAGGGAATGGCAACTCCAATATTCTTGCCTGAAAAATTCTATGGACGGAAGAGCCTAGCAGGTTACCGTCTATGGGCTAAACAAGGAGTCGAACATGACTGAGCAACTGAGCATGCAGAAAAACACAAGTCTAAGAAAGGGCCTAAAAGGGTATAATTTTTCCCTGTAGGTGTAAAGGTAATTGGACATTTTCTCCCTTCTAACATCATTAGAATCAAAATCAATCCCAGACTGATTCTTGCTTAATTAAATTCAGTGTCATTTCCCACTAAAATTTAAAAGTACATATTTATGCAAAGATACTACTAAATCACATCACAGAACTAGTATCAGAAAGATGTCCATGGAGAAAAAATATCTTTAGAATCATTTTGAGATTATCACCAGTCTCAATTTAAAAAAGTAGTTGTAGTCTTATTAAGTGCTTCTTAGGCAAAAAATAGAGGGCAGAAGTAGGAGGGACAATTCTACTATGAATAAAGTAATCATTGAAGTCCTTTCCTAAAAGGTGATTGAAAGGGCAGAAAGTGGCTGCCAGTGGGAGCACTGTTACAGAGATCAAAATTAAGTAAAAATTAATTAAGTAAAAGTTATCTCATTTCAAAGATGACCTGATATATATGTAGAAATCTCTAACAATTTAATAGGAATGTTCATTGGAGTACTTATGTTGCAAAGAAGTGGTACATGTACTGTTGTCTTGATTTACATTTTAATAGAAAGCT